TCGAAATCTCATCTACCAATTTTAGTAACCGGAGGCATGGTTACATATTTGTTCTCCCAAGCAACAACACCGCTGTTCCAGGCAGCTGGTGCCTGGATCACATCCTGCTTCGTACTGACATTCCTGTGAGTAGTTACCACCTTACTGTTGGTATCCTGCTCACCGTCCCTCACTTAGTTGCAACTTGTACTCTACTGGTAAATCATGTCGGCAGCCACCGCAATGCTTCGATGACCTGAACTTCCATTGCCAGGTCTGATTGCTTTCCGGATCTTCCGCTCCAACAAACAGTTTGGAAGGGCGTCTGTAGACCTCGGGTCAGGTGTGAATGTGAGTACCCTCGAAAACAGATCATCAACTTTCATTTTGACGACGCCATTAGAAAATCATCGAAATTCTAGTGGAAAGTGCCGTATTATACGGGTACGTCAGTTTAAAGTATCTGTACATGCAGCCCGACTAAGGAATATCCAGCATCTGCATCACTCTTGCCCTGGGCACATACGTAGGCAACTCGAATGTTCAGTTCGCAGTGGTGGCGATAGTGAGTACCACCCATCTTAGGGCAATATGATGGATTGATCTGACTGGATCCCTCCCCTAACAGAACGGACCAGTCATCGTTAGTATTTTACTACAAGTGCTCCGAAGGCCTGCCTCTGATCCTTCTTTCAGGGCATAATCTTCTGTATGATCGTTGCCCGCGCGCATCGCTCGGTCTACAGCACATCTCAACAGGTGTCGACGACTAACTCGAGGAACCGCCATATCAGCCACGCCATGCGGCCAATGGCAGTCAAGATCACAACACAGATCGAAGACTCCAGCGAACACTCCACTGACCCCAAAGGCGCTGACTTCGGAACCCCTCCTGGCTCGCCTAGGGTATATGACTATCAAACTAATCTCCAATCCTCCATAGGCTCAGTGCGTAAGGAGGAGGTGTAAATAAATAGACTCGCGGGTTCAGGCGTTGTATCACTAGATGTACCTTGATATAGCCATACCCTTCCGACTTCTCCGCACGAGAAACCACCGTGACACCGTAAGTTGCGACGCTGTCATAGTCGGGGTTGAGATTGACCAGACCAGAAGCGCCACAATGGCAGGCGAGTCAGTCCCGATTGGAGAGGGCTGATGCCTGCACTTGGTCACCTTTGCGTGAGCTATGTCCGCGGATGCAAACCGCAGTGGGCACAGGTTGGACAATGAACAACTGATGAGAGGTGATTTGGGGTGTAAGGCGTCGTAGCGCTTTGGCATTTCAACACCTTATACTTGCCAAAACTGTCGCTAATCCAGAGACGCCATTGTCCGCACGATGGGGATTGTTGGGATTTCAGGTCCTGAGGAATCTAGCTACCGATTCAGGTTGACAGACGAATCCGAAGACCGTGAATATAATTGTCGTCGAGGTTGAGCAGCCCAAAATATATCGCCGTGGCCCCACCCTGCTCGGGTATGTGCCCGAGAACAAAAAGATATCGCAACTGAACTCACATCACTCCCGAAAATCTGCATTTCAATCTAGCTTGACCATACACTTGACCTACTCACGTCAATTCAGAGCGAACATTGTGTGCGGACCATCCCAGACATCCGTTAGCGAAAAGATCTTGATCCAAAGCTCATGCCCATCTGAATTGACGAGTCAATGTAGAAAGTCAGAGGAAGATAAACCAAGATACAGCCACATACCGACGTCACTGAACAAAAGAACATGCAGGGGTGGAACTGAGCTCTTCTGCATTCCGACCGGCGGTGAGGACCTTCAATCCCCACCGTGACCACGCCGGCGGTTGAAAAAGACGGTCCCGACAGTCGAAATCACTAGTTTCCGACGTATACAATCAGACAGTCTCACAGACGGACAACCCTTGGCCGTGTGTACTTTGTGGCGGGACAGGTTGTGAGTCCTCTATGTTCACCTTGAAAGAGGCGAAAAAGATTTGTCTCCAGAGGATAAGCTTTACGCGCGAACCTGACAGGTACCCACCTGATGCATTGGTTCGTCGATGGTGCTCATGTTTGAATAAAGACTCGAAACAATAACGTTGACGGAGCCATATACTTATTAAGCGACATCGCGGAAAGGGTCCGGTGCCAACAGAGGATGGATTTCTTCGAGTCGTAATTAGCACGTAGGATCCACCAAGCGTCATATGTCGACAACATAATTCGCAGAGTCGGCATACCGATTAGTCCAATGGCAGCCTGGTTCACAAAGTCATGTGGAAGAGGGTCGAATGTCATGTTGCATGGAGTATGTAAAGCCGGCGGGTCAAAATTTGAGTTCCGCACGTCCGAGTCACCGTGCCTGTACTTGCCATCACCGTACTCCACCATGCTTCAAGTCAACATTGGACTAGAACACTTGGATCTTGGCCGAGACCACCGGGGTGGACGTCGCAATCTTGATCCTAGGAATACGGAAGGCTCAATCACTACACATAGGCCTCTTATCTGCGACATCTCCAAGCTCCATCGATGGTGAAGCCAATCCTATACTCAATGGTTCCACGCTTCATACGACTGAACTCAATCGGACGTGTTCAAGTGCTCCCGATGCCCTCGCACTTGTCCTATCGCGCATGCGAAAACCCATTCCGTTCGGAACCTGAAGAATTTTGTTCACTAGCAGATGCTTTGGCCGCGATTCAGATTCTAACAATAACCACACGGTCACCCAAGTAGCACCATTTCTCCTTCCAGCAAGATCTCACTCGACTTCTATGGTTCAGTTCAGTTCAGCTTTTGACGAAAAGGCACATACCAGTCGGTCACAGTCCAATTTGAGAAGGTAGAAAGGCATGTATATGACGATCCCGCGAGCGTCCGGCGGCAGATTTTATGCAATAGACTCGTGAGAACATAGTCCTGGCCATGAAACGGGAAACACCAATCTTCAGGATGCCTGCCAAGTCTTAGCCTGTGTCGGTTTCAACCACGCGGCTTCCAGCAGCCCCGCCACAGTCATTTTTCCAGGATTATATTCATGAATCCCAATGATCCCATCAGGCACGCCGACTGAAACGCCTCCCTCGCCACTTGCAGGACATTGTTTACTGGTCCCGTTCCATGCATTGGTCACTGGTCACTACTTTACGCATAACACGCCTCGGGATATAAAAGGGCCAGCGTCATGAAGCTGTTTCTTCATCACCTCGCTCCCCAGTCAATCCATCTTACCCACTTTCTTCTCGTGACGATCATGGGCCGCAGCTGCAGCAACGAAACGACGCTCTTGATCGCTCACAAGGCGCCTACAAAGCCCGTCCTCAAGTTTCCTCTGGGGCTAGTGTCTGAGAATGCTCGCCCATACCTCGAGTTAATTCGGCTCGAGAAGGTGCATATTCGACTGATGTCTATCTGCACCTGTCTGTCGCTGAATTTCCACAGCCTACAGGGACCATCCTCATGTTCTGGCCCTTCGGTGAATACATGACCATCCTACGATATATGATCGTTGTTGACGCTCTTCATTAGCATGGGGTCTTACGATGGCTGCATACACCGTAGCTCTTCCTTTCGGACAATATGGGGTTAACCTTCTCAAGTGTTTTGTTGGCGCGTTCCTTCTGCGTAGCTCAGCCTGTACTGTCAACGATATCTTCGACCGAAAGATGGATGCCGGGGTGGGTAAGCACTTGATAAATCTACCCTCGACCTTCATACATGCTCAATCCATTCTCCCAGAACGGACGAAAAACCGACCACTCGCTAGTGGTCGTGTTTCTGTTCTCGCGGCCACTATCTACCTCTTTGTTCAATACGCCCTTGGCGTTGTTTTCTTCTATGCGACGGTCGAGGGTCTTGCGTGCGTATCTGATCGATCGAATAAACCACGCCCACTGATCGGTACCTCTATAGCTTATGGGTTGCCTTATTCCAGTTGCTTCCCTTGTAAGGCCTTGATGATCGACCGGCAAGATGAAACTTTCTTTGCTTATGATCATTCTTTGTAGATTCGCGATCTACCCGCTCTTGAAACGCTGCACCCACTGGCCGCAGGCATGGCTCGGCTTCGCGATGAACTTTGGCTTCGTCACTGCCTGGGTTTCTCTTACCGGCGGGTTAGATATTCCTCTGCTGTCTGTGGCGATGGCCGGCTGTTGGTGGTGAGTTTGTTCAATATTCAGCGTCTAGAGCCGTTCTTAAGTTTCCTTTCAGTTGGACCATGCTTTATGGCACGCCGATTCACCTCTTTATATTAACCTCTGGCTAACATATCTTCGTAGACACGATCTATGCTTGCCAAGACATCAAAGACGATGTAAAAATGGGTGTTCGATCCACCGCTATCCTCTTTGGATCGTGGATACGCCCTCTTCTTATTCTATGTGCCTTTGGCTTCGCCGCGATGCTCGGAGTTGCCGGGTATCTCAATGGTCAAGGCCTACCGTACTTCGCTATATCCGTAGGTGGAACTGCTGCCCATCTTGTGTGGCAGTTCATGACCGTCGACCTCGAGGTTCCCTCGAGTTGTTGGGGTGAGTTCTCATCATACAACTGGCAACGACACAACTAATGTCCTACCCTGCAGAAAACTTCAACCGCAATGGACAATTGGGATGGATTGTCTGGGGCGGCTTGATGGTCGACTACCTCTTCTCGATAGGGTTCTTCGAAGCTTAACCCTATCTTCGTTAATTTGTTCGTTCGTTCATCGCACCTGACAATACTGCTCGCTGTTTATGCTCTATTTATACTACTTATGGTCGTAGGACTAACTCTTTGTTCATTCGTTCGCCTTCATTCCAACCTAGTACTTACCTAGAAGACTCTATAACGTAGGCTTTGCCAGTCTGAAGACAATAGGCTGCACCTACTAGCCATTACCTTGTAATATAATTGTTGTTGTATCCAATTTGGGAAGAACCCAAAGTTTCCGTTGACGCTGCGACCATAAAGATAATGAAAGAAAGTCGGACTCCAGTTAGATCTTGCAATTCGGGTTTCGGATCATAAGAGATCGTCGATACCTTTGAAGGGAAAAAAAGTGGACACTGTGGGAATTGAACCCACGACCTCACGCAAGCGATGAAGATGCGAAGCGTGCGCGCTACCCCTGTGCCAAGAGCCCATGTTGTCAGAGCTGTGACAATAAAACTAGCGATACTCCATGTTCGTACATGACACATTCGGTGGCAGCAGCATGTTTTACACGTTCATGTTGATGGAAAACCCGTACCACCCCTCAAGGCCCCACTGCTTGGGACATACCGCGCCTTGGGGCTGCGCTAGGGCTGAAAAACATGTCTCATCTCCGAATAGGCCTGCGTCGGCTGTGACATCTTGTATTTGTCTGTCCCTCCAAGGCGCCGTTCACCAACTTCCGAGACGGCGAGACAGGGCGAGACCCATGGTATTCTCTGCTCCGATCCCTGGTCTGGATGTGATTGATACCATTGTCGAAGCTCTCCGCGACGATGCAGCTGCTTTGCGACGATCTCGACCTAATCATCTCTGTCACTTCCTTACCCCGAGTCGGAAGCGTCCATTTGTCGTCGTCGCGCTCGACAGCAATTGACATCTAGGAGATGCAAAACACCAAGCGTCTCTACATGATCCTGTATTACAAGCTCGATCTCCAATCTCGTACGTTCGAAACATTTTAGGTCGACGGAGTCGCGGTCGAAATGCGACCCTGTAGATCCCTACTGGAATCGCCCTATTTACCCTCTTCAGCTCGGCACGGTATGGTTGCATCCTTGTTGTGTAATTTCGGCTTTCCAGAACTGCGGCACTTCCTTTTTTTCTTGGAGTCAGCTTACGATACGGTTTCACCATCTATCTCGTCGCAAAGACCACCAGAAGGTTGGAGCAATTGGAAACCGGCGTGGGAGGTATGCCCATATCCTAGCAATGTTATGCAACCCAGATATATCGGGGGCTATGGGGTACTCAAATGCAAGATGTCACGCTTCTCATCGCCTTCGCAGAGCTTTTCAACGTGGTGAGCTATCCAAGACAAATTCAGAGCACAGATTTAGACCGCGAACTCGATGCAACGACACCAGCCTCCGCACTATCACCATACACGTTTTGGGGGATCATCTTACAGGATGCCTTGCAGCCATGTTTCTCTTGGTCGCGACCCAAGGTTACCTCACAGGCAGTCTCCGTGAGGCGGGAGATGCCTTATAAGGGAACACGAATCCTAAATTCCTGCAACGCGGTCATTTCTTGATATTCGTGTGCGGTATCTGACAGATGCATATGAATAAATCATGTCCTCCGTATCCGTTGCTATGGGCAGTTGTCTCGAGTCCCAAGGGCCACCCACGAGGTGCAAGATGTGGTGTCTGACTTCGTCATTTCAAATTGTGGCGCCCAGCGGGCTGTGATGTAGAGCAGGATCCACGGTAATGAACCCACATTGCGTGGAAACCACCGAACATTATTCAAATTCGATCGCCAGGTTCGCAGCACCGTCATAGGGAATTTATAGAATCCTTGGGAATGGATACGACTTCACGTAAAAAAAGATAGCACGATGAAACAGCAAGGACCCAGAGCGATTGATTTCGAGGAGAACATATAGATAAGCCTGGGCATATTCAGGGGCAGTCAATACCCATTTTTTGTTGTGGCAGAACGACGAAATGACTCACGACAAACACCGAAGATGATGTTTTTGAAAGGCTAACAATTTTCAAGCATTTGAGGTTGATACCCTCATGCGCGACCTTGGACAATAAGGATTGCGGCACACACCGCGAGCGCGCCTACGGAGCCTTGACGTTATTTCGTTCATGAGAGGCGGGGCCTCAAACGCCCACTGCGTTTCGGGTATTGGAGGCCGTGTGCAATTCAACCCGCGAGAAGTACTTATAGTCGTTATTGTTGTAACGCTAGTTTCGCGTCGCGTTTCGTGGCCGTTCTCGCTTTCATGGCCAGTCTCGATCTGTAGGTCCGAGAATTCCGTAGTAAGATCTGTAACGTACGAGGACGCCCAGGATCCAGAGCAGTAGGATTGCTGGCTGCTCGATGCCTCGCCTGTTTGTCTGCCCGAGATACTCGGAGATGCGGCTGGGGTGATGGGATTTGGAGGATCTTGAAATCCCGAGCCATCGGTGCGGAAGGAGGAGCTGGGATCTCCTATTTTTAGGTGAAGGGCCCATTTGTCGGCGTCTCGCGATATGGTCCTGGGCATGGCGGGGCATGCTGCGCCACACGATCGCGACAGATCTCCAGGCCGAGAATAAAGGATGAATCCACGGGACTTGTACTTTGTTACATAGTCCTGATTCCTTCCCACTCCTTCGACGTCAGCCGCCGGCTCAGCCTCAGGGTCGTATGCTTCTAGAGTGTCCTTCCCCCGATATTGGAGGATACCTTTGCGTTTGAACGTCAGCTTCGGGTATAGGACAACAATAGACTCGGGGGTAAGGTAGTTCATGACAAGCGTGGAGTGAAATTTCGTGATTGGGGAAAGAAATGACGGCTGTGACGACTCAATCACGTCAATGAAGGTGTTGTTTGTCGAGCAAAGTTTATAAACGCGGTAGATGTGGGAGTCAGTCGATCCATAGCGGTTTTTTGCCTTCCGTAAATTACGATCGGAGGCTGGGGCAGAGGCAAGATCCGTTAGCCAGTCGCAATCTATGTCCGCGGGAACAGAGATTGTATGGGGTGGGGTATGAAGCTTTTAGATCCATCGGAAACGATGCGATACGCTTCGTGGGCCATCAGCCAGTGGACGACAGCGTACCCCGTGCCAAATGGCGCATAGATGTCGAAGTCATACGGCTTCCAGTGGTTCTCGCGCAGAACGAAATGGAGCGCAGTCGACCCCGAGATCGCCGCACGGGTTTTTAGGAGAAGAGTGCGGAAGCCACTGACGTTGCACTTGGATATCCGCGAAGTCAGCAGTGCATCGAATGATTGACAGAGGTGGGCCGGGCGCTTGTCCATCAGCATTCTGTGAGTCTGTGAGAGGGCCATGACGTCCAGTATGGGAACGTGGCCTGCTATCGTATCGAATAACAGGATAAGGACATTGAGAGGCAGCGAGGAGGTCAAAGACATCTTCTCCCAATATTTGCCACTAGAGAGCTGGGTCCCCGGCTTTTCTGGTTTGTGGAAGAGCAAGTTATTGAGCAGATGGTGTTGTGGGCGTCTGTGTTCGACAGTGCTCGTGGTGCTTTATGCCATTGTTCCTGGATGATGGCAGGAGTGATGCCACCTCGCGATGCCGGCCGGCCCGGCTGTAAACGGTCACCTGACGTGACACCAACAAGTCGCGTCGTGGTGTTGATGGTTGAAATTTCCAACTTGGACCACAACCACCATGACCTCGAGCGCATCGCCAGCCACGACGGACTCGAATGGATTCAGTCAAATTGGACGATATGGCACGATATCCTTGATGAAGCGGACGGATTCTAGCACTGCTATTACTGCCTTCGGCATTGACGCCGACCAACTCACTTTTGGTAGAGATCCTACCTGCGGAGTACGACTATATTACCCCGATGTCAGTCTGGTTCACTGTAAGATCGTATTTGAGGAGCGTAAAGTGGGTATTCCTGGTAAATGTTCCCGCTATCTGTACGCTAATAATCTCATTACTCAAGGCATTTCTTGTGGTCTTGGGATCCAATGGTCTCTTTGTCGACGGATGCAAGGTTTATCCAAACGGTTCACCGTCATCAAGCTCTACACCGACTATGATCCCCCTCACCAACAATTCGGAATTCGAGATACATGGTAAACGGTTTAGGTTCACATACCCACCCAAAGAACTTCGTGCCGCTCTATATGCAAGCCCCGCTCGTATGTAACCTCAATACCGCCCAAGACCTTGGTTTAATGTCTGTTGTCATAAAGGTCCCGCAAATCGCGCTCTCCGTCTATCGATGATTCATAGCACCCAAGTGTTCTCTCCACGTCCGTCGCCAGATCCCCGCGAAAATCTACGCATCCTCAAGAGCCCACTCAAGAACACCTTCAAGTCCCCCTACAAAAAGGGACTCGCGACCCCACGGCGAACGAATCTTTTTTCCACTTCCAAGTACGCCTATAATTCCCCTGTTAAGCCCGAGCCCACCGCGCAGCCTTCCATCGAAGAGGACGACCAGGATGAAGAGGAAGACATCATCGTTTTGGTGGACGGAAACCACCCCCGCGTCGTCGAAGACGAGAAAGACCTTGTTATCCTCGAGGACATCGAAGTTCCCCTACGAGGCTTAAGTCCTACTAGCTCAGAGGTTTATCACCAGCCTCCAGTGTATGCCGCACCGCCCCCTCCCCAAACTCCTGCACGCAAGCGCTCGCTGTCACGCAACACCTTACATCGCGCAGTCCTAATCCGCAGTGCGCAGCGGGCCGTCTTAAAAGCCGAACGGGACGAGCAAGAGAAGGAGGAAGAGGAAGAGGAGATGGAGGTTCTTGACGCAGTGGCGAGCGATATTGGAGAGGAGAGCGACGAGGAGGTCGCTGCCGAAGCGGACGTACGAGAGGAAGAGGGAGAATCTGCCGGGAGTGGCGATGAGAACATGAGTGAAGAAGAAGACATGGTTGAAGACGAGGAAGATATGGAAGAGAGAAAGACCCGGAAATTGACCTGGAGGAAGAGCTTGGAACGTCTTTGGCCCTTCCGTAGCTCGAGTCCTCAAGAAGAAGACGAGAACCAGGAGGTGAGTTTGATATCTGACCATGGCTCTGAGCCAGAGATTGACTTTTCCTCAGGACGATGATAATGTCGCAGAAGACGCCCGTAGCCATACAGAGTCAGAAGACGAAGAACAGGACGAGGAAGAGGACATTCCTGCTCCTCTCCCTCCCCCTCAAACCCCTGCGCGAAGGGCCCTTGGATCCTTCATGACTCCCCAAGTACATCCGCGCTCCAAAGTCCCCGCCTCCACTTCCAACCCTACCTTATTCAATCGCCCGCCGTCAGACCAATCAGAGGCATCCAACTCTGCGCAGGGAGCAGTCGGGGCCGGCCGGTATTCCCTCGGAGGCGGTGAGGCTCGGCGTGTCGTGCGGACCGAGCAGGTGTGGAAGGTGCGGGATATTGTCCTCCCCGAACCTCCAGCAGCGACTTCATCGAGTCATAACCCTCCTGCTCGTGCCTAT